GGTACATACATTTTTCTTGTACACTGGCTTCTGCATCTTCAAGGACCTGCACTTCAACATTTTGTAAAACAATATGCTGAACAGCAACTTCCACTTCCCTATTTTCTTCATCTGGTCATAAAAAGAAGACACTGATTAAAAATAAAAAGGTATGGAAGTCTTTTGCAGTAAATTAATTATTTCTTGAAAGAAAATAATTAATAATAAAAGTAAAAAAACTGCTGTATTTTGCACCAAATTAGAGTTGAATTGGTATTGTCTATAGCTAGTTGCTTCAGTTAGCAAATAGTGCTTGCTAGTGGAATATTGGCATACTTGCTGAAAGCCAACATTTAAAGACCGTATGACAAGCTAATAAATTATGCTTTTACTTACAGAACATCTGTGTTGTACTGGTTTCTTAATGTATGCATTGATTTAACGGCACAAATATTCATAAAATCGTAATTTTAAAGACTTTTACGAAGAGGTGACATAAAAATCCTAAAATATTGAAAGGTCAAGCATGTGACGTCATCACGCCCCTTAGTAACCTTTTGTTTATTGTCCAGTTTAGAAAGTACAGTATTGCGTCAACCACCAGATACACTGAGTGATTCCTAGCGATAGAATAATAACAGTAATGCCGAAAAATTGTGTTGTTGGGGGTTGCCCGAATTCCGATAAGAATGATGTTCATTTTTTTGTGTTTCCAAAAAATCCAAGAATTAGACGACAGTGGATTCGCTTCGTTCAGTTTACGAGGAAGAATTTCGTAAGTCCAAGTGCTCACGCAAAAATTTGTAGTGTTCACTTTGATACAGAAAGTTACGACATAACATGTCAAATGAAACGAAAGCTGGGGCTTTCCTCCGTCCTAAGACTAAAGAAAAACGCTGTCCCAACAATAAAAAAAAGAAAAGGAAACAACGGGAATGGAAAATAAAAGGACGTACGCCTTAAAGCGCCAGAGAAAACAGGTAAGTCACCGTCTGTATTCATAGTATTAAGTTCGAGTTGGTCCGGTTGGACAGGTCGCCGACCTTTCTGGCGTCATGTTTACTACAGTACCTAGCAACATAAGCTAGCGTACTACTCTACTAGGCCTAGGCTAGTACAGTGAGTAGTTTATAAAATTGTATCCCTAGTAACGTCGTATGTTTACGTAACATTTTACATTATATTCCTCAGTGATTCTTTTGCAGTTGATAAAAGGCCTATGTATATATTGGAACATACCTATAGCCTAAGTAATAGGCCTATACCAAAGCCATCTCTATACTACTACCACCTGTAGGCCTACCAATTTAACTGTTCCCTGGGCGGGTGGGTCCTACTTATCGAGAGTACTTAGCCTATAGGTAGTGAGATTAGAGGCTAACCTAAAAATATAGGCAGACCTATGTTATCATCATTAATATTAGATGCCATTATGCATGCTATGTCAGAACTATTGATATTTTATAATTAGGTCAATTCGTATTGTTTTTATTTTTTTGTTTTTTTTCAATATTCTAGTATGTTGAAAACATATTAGAAGATAGTAGGCAGAAAAGTGAGGAAGGTGAAAGCACACTGCCAGTACCAACAATTGAAAATGCATCATCTCATTTAGCCTCGTTTGTTAAAGAATATCAGCAGAGCAGAAACTTGCAGGTATTAATATTACTTAATTTGTATGTACTCCTTTCTCAGTCTACCAACTCATACTTATTTATTATATTATTGTTGTTTAATATATAGGCTATTATTATTATTATTATTATTATTATTATTACATTTATGTAGGCCTACTAAGTTTGTAATTCAGATATTAAAGTACTGTATGATTTTAAAAAAAAATCTACATGTATATTATACTATTATAGGATAATTCAAAAACATCCACTACAAAGTGCAGAAAAAAAAAAGACAAAGTCTAAACGCTCAATGCGTGTGCAAGTTGGCTCAAAAATGTGTACCAAAGGTAAAATTCTTATTTTTTATTTTTATTTTCTGATATTGTTAAATGTAGCAGTTATACCTGCTGCATGATTAGTAATTATACCGTAGTAACTTTAATATCAATAAAATGCCCTTTTTAAAATAAAAATAAATGATAATTTTTAGAAATTCAATATTCAATATAAACATTGTCTTTTGTTTACAGAAACTCAAACTGACCCCCAAATCACTGGAGTTGATTTGCCTTTGACAGAGGTACCACCAAGTGGTAACTCAATTTTTGAAGAACCAATCACTGCAATACCAGTAGGCACATCAACTCCCAATCAAAGCGAAGACGAGTCTTCACCTTGTGAGAGTGATCATCATGTTAGCATCTTTGATAGAACTTTCAATCCAGACAACACATATCTTTCATCATCATTAATGTAAGTTAACAAGGAATTACAAATAGTAGTTCTAGGAATTATTGTCATGTATTTACTGTATATTATTACAACAA